GGCACACCGTTCGAAGAAGCAGTCTCCGAACTTGCACCCTTCTGGCAGTTTGCAATCGTACTCAATGGTGTTCAAACCTGTTTTGTCTGGTAAGTAAACTTTTTTTTAAAAAAAGTTTTATTGGCAAATATTGAAATTCTCTTCTTTAATTCTCTCTTGCAAGTCTAATTCTATTTGTTTTCGCCAAGAAGTTTTGGTCACCTTCCAATATATATATATATATAATATTTTTGTTATTTAATTACTTAATTTTGGATCTTTCTAATTTCAATACTATAATCATTTTTACTGCGACTTATATTCCATTAATTTTAAATTTATAACACTTTATTTTCAGAGAAAATTCAAGCAAGAGTTTAGGATGCTTAACATTTTCTTCTTTTTTTAGGAGAACTCAGATTGTCTTGAGCAAAATTCTGATTGTTCCCATATTTGCTATATATTGGGAGTCTTGTGGTGTATTATACTGTTCTCATTGTAGTAATCGGAATATGTGTGGGGGGCATGCAGTAATCAATCAAGCAGTATACCACAAAAGATTTGTAGTGTGAGCGCAAAAAGGAGTGTAAACATAGAGTGCTTGACCTTTAGTTGTTCTGATGAATATTATATACACTTATGTCACAATATAAATTGATTTACCTATTAAATAATATTTTCCATATATTAAAAAAAAAATGTAATCCGATGAAATAACTATAATTTTTCGATTAATTTAATTTTTTTTTGTGATCTCTATCAATTTAACAATTTAAATTAAAAAATAAACTTAAGAGTAAATACAAGCTGAAACTGACATCTAATCCAATTAAACTAGAAACAACGGGACCTTTTTTTTTTTTTTTTTTTTGAACTGAACAACGGGACCTTGTTTTACAATTTGTTGTCCTCGCTCTTTCAATATAATGGTACTAGCGGTGGATATGGTTCATTGAGATCTTGTTTGGGAACATATTATTTAATAAATTTTTTGAATTTTTTTAATTAAAATGTGAGGTAAAAAAAATTTATAGGTTTAGAATGACTTTTTTGATTTTTTACGAGAAGATATGCAAAAGTGAAGAGAAAGGAGAATTTTTTTTGACTTTTTCGTATAGGTTATACACTTTTGATTTTTTTATAATAATTTTGAACTTTTAAGCTAAAACTATTACTTTCCAAACGGGGTTTCAACCAGTCCATAATTTATAGGATTTTGAAATTTGATGGACCAGATGTGGAGAAGAGTGATTTATGTAACTACCATTCTTTTAACTTTATCTTTTATGAGTATAAATTATGTAATAGTAGTTATATAAAGAATTAGTTATAAATATTGAACAACTAACCTTGAATTGGTTAAAGAGCATTCTAATTGATTAAATTAATTAAAAAATATATTATATTAATTAATTCCGGAACATGTGGGTGCTCTTAGAATTTTATTTTTAAAATTTTTTTTTTTAAAACTAACTTGAAAAAAAATAATAATTAGCCATACTAAAAGGACTTAACTTAAAAATATAATCACATAATATTGGCCAGACCCAACACATCTAAATCGAGGAATTATTTTTTGTTTTGGGAATAATTTCATGTGATGTCCTCAACATAATAATTATTAATTTAAAGAGTGAGACCCAATATAACTTATTGAAATTTTAGAAAACATCATAACAAATAATAAGTGACAAATGATATGAAATAATATTTTAAAATTATTAAATAATCATTCATCTAAATCCGGCGGCGACATGATTATTTTTTTGTTTGATTGAGTAAAAGGCAATAACTAGTGGATTTAATGAAACACTGGCTAACAAAAGTTGACTAATATGATGATGATCATGTGACGACACTTGTTCATGATAAAACTGACAATTGGGTCAAGTTTCATAAGTAGTGCTGGTGCTAACATTTATCCTTTTCTTAACTCAATCATATGTACTAATCAATGATTGAATTCAAATTAACAACCACCATATCCCACTCCATCCCACTTTACTTGCCTCCCCTCCTTCCTTCCTTCCTCCCTCATCTCACCTCACCTCACCTTACCACCATCACTCTTAATTACTTTTACCACCACCACCGCCACTCACATTGTAAATCATCACCATCTAAACAATAAATCATCATACGCTTCCAACTCTGCCGCCTCTTCCCTCTTTGCCCCCCCTTCTAGTGATGATAACTAACCACCATCTCTTCATCTTCTCTGTTTGTCCCCTAATAATTTTTACTATTTATTTTTCTTCTCTTTTTCTTCGATTTCAGCCATCACCATATTTTTCCCTTTATATGTTTTCTTCAATTTCTACCAATTCTTCACAAAGATGTCTATTGTAGGGTAGGAAAAAGGAGAAAAGAGAAAAGAAAGATCAAAGTGAGAAGGGTACATGTGAAAGGGTGGAGTGATCAAATATAGTTGTAGGGGCAAAAATGTAAAAATCATTTCTCTATTAACTACATTCAATTGACAACACTGATTGGGGACGACAGTGGTATTTCAAAAAAATATTAATTTTATTTTTTTTGTAATTGTCATAAACTTTAGAGGATGTTAGTATAATTTTTTCTTTTTTTGTCATTAATTACCCTTGCTCTTGAAATCATTATAAGTATTTTGTTTCTCTAACCTTTGTTTTATTTTATAGATTAGATTAATTTAAATAAATGAGACTTTTATACAAAAATTTTACATAAAATGATGTCCTTTATGTTTTATTATTATTATTTCAAATCATAATACCAACTCTTATCGGTCATGATAAGAATATATTGCTGCCACATCAATAGGATATTATTTTATGTAAAACATAATAATAATTATACATTAAAGATAATAAAAAAAAGTTCATAGGAATTATGATTTAGATGCATAAAAATGTCTCATTCATTTTATACCCTTATTCTATTCAATATAATGATGAATTAAAACGACCACTAGCATCTTGATCAGACAACTTGCTAAACCATTATATAATTAGACAATGCTTTTCCACTTACTTCCAAAGAAGGGGAAAATAATAGACTTTCAAGTAATGCATATAACGCTTAATATGAAGATGGGGCAAACATAACCAATCAGTGGTAATTTCAAGAATAAATATTAATTTGACAAAAATAACTATGAGTTTAACTTTGAATGTAGTAAAATTTCCCATTAATATGCAAATATTTTTTCTGACTTTCGTTGAAATGATATTTTCCCAATGACGATCCTAATGCCTTAAAATATAACTATCACAAATTTATTGAGAAAGACTAGTTAGCAATATGACTTTTAACAATAACATTCTTGTCTTGTGCTCTTTAAAAAAAAAAAAAATGAAAAAAGGAAAGAAACCTAGCATTCTAACAAATTGGCATAGGCTAGTTGTTAGACATCTCTCTCTCTCTCTCTCTCTCTCTCTCTCACATGTTGAAATTATGATGATAGATGACAAAATATGTGTTTTCAATGTAAAATGATTGAAGGGGTTGCTGTTGGGTGTGGATGGCAAGCATTTGTTGCGTACGTAAACGTTGGATGTTATTACGTGGTTGGTATTCCACTAGGTGCACTACTCGGCTTCAAATTCAATCTTGGTGCTAAGGTATATCATTTTTTGTGTTAGAAAACGGAAGTTTAAGATGCAACAAAATAACAAAAACTATTCCAAGATTAAAAAGGTTTAGCATGCTACACATTTACTACTATCTTTTCCATCTAAACCTCAAATGAATGTAATCCAGAAGTATTTGATTTTCCTATCTTTTGAATTACAAGTTGTTCTTGTATATATATATTTATATTGCTTAGAAAAAGAAATACCATTTATTAATGAAAGTGAAACATTAGAAGGGAAAAGAGGAGTTTTTCTCAATATTTGAGTGAACAACTAATATGCATTCATTGGTGCACCAATCACTCTTTATAAACATACAATACAAGCATGGGTTAAAAGTTTCTTTCACATATATGCACATGCAATATTAGCAAAATGATCATAGCATATACATAGTGAGTATATTATGGGTAACGTCGTGGTTTAATGCAGGGAATATGGTCAGGGATGATAATGGGCACCATGATTCAAACTATTATTTTAATATGGGTAACTTTTCGGACCAATTGGGATAAAGAGGTAAGATTTGATGAATGCTACTATTTTCTAATCCATGTTAGACTTGCACTCTCATGCGTTATTTCTCTCTTTTATATCTTTTCAAATTATCAACAAATCATTTTACTTATACATCATTAAGTCTATGAAGTGGGTTTAAAAAGTGAACTTGTATATAATTTTTATAATAAGTATGCATTTTCTTTATTGATGAATGAAAAAGAGTCAAATAGAAAGACACGTCATAAATACCGCTGCTAAAGGGGGATTAATTAGGTGAAGACATTACAAGAAATAATGGAAAGCATGAATAGGCATTAATTAGGTGAAGACAAATATCTTACACACAATGTGATGCATCAGACATGCAGATTTGTTGACCAAATAACAAGAAACCAACCAACAATAACAAAAGACGCAATACTAGCTATACTTAGACGAATCAAGATCTTCTCTCCTTGATCTCTCTCCTTAACTCTTTATTTGTTTGGTCATTGGGTCTACTTTTGGGCCCAATTTTAATAATCTGAACCGTTCACATTTTAAGATTTGTTGAGTATATCATACTTGTAAAAAATCAAATTGATTGAATATCAGAAACTACGTGTTCGGATCATCGAACTAAAAATATATTTTTTAAAAATTTAATCTACAGTTTTCCGAACACATATTTTCTGATATTTGATCAACTTGATTTTTTACAGGTATGATATACTCAACAAATCTTAAAATGCGAACGGTTCAGATTATCAAAAGATCAAATTGATCGAATATCAGAAACTACGTGTTCGGATTATCGAACTAAAAATATTTTTTTAAAAAATTTAATCTACAGTTTTCCGAACACATATTTTCTAATATTTGATCAACTTGATTTTTTACAGGTATAATATACTCAACAAATTTTAAAATGCAAACGGTTCAAATTATTAAAATTAGGCCCAAAAATAAACCCAATGATCTAGCAAGTAGGGAGTCAAAGAGAAAAATTATGGAGAGGATCCCATAATGACTTGGTGAATTAAGATCTTACGTAATTAAGTTATAGCTTCAAGCACACATTGCAAAGTGACAATGCACAGCATATGCCCTACTTTACAAACAAACAACACTTATAAATTAAACTGCACTTATAAAATTGGTAGTAATCAACTATATAACACTTTACACTGTTCTTTGATTGAGCATTGCCTTTTCTCCTAAGAACCCATGATTTCGTACCGTTTAAAATTCAGAAATTTGTCAATCTTTCACAATATTTATGAGTAAATTACACCCACACCCTCTAAAGTTTGCCTTTAAAACAAATGTCAAGAAAGTCCATACCATTGTTTTTTTTTTTGGCCAAATTATGCTGTTAGTCTCTATTATTTAGCATTTATGTCATTTTAATCCCTGTAATTTCAATTGATTTGATTTTGACTATAAATTTTTTATTTTGTATCAATTTGGTCAAATTGATTGCTCCCGCTAGCGTTATTTCTAAATAATGTGCATGTAAGTAAGCAAGTGTCTTACTTTTAAGGATAAAATTCTAAACTTACTCAACTCAGTGAGTTAATTTCATTCAATTCAATGATTTTTAGTCAAAAACCCTAACCAAAGATAGCAATTGGACCAAATTCGCCTGCTTTAATTGGCCCCCTACTAGTAAACGGTGGGATTGGTCCATTGTATTAGTTGGTCCAGTGGGTTGGATATTGAGATAAAAAATAAAATAAAATAAATAGTCCAAATTGACGTAAAATCTAAAATGAAATGTCAAAATCAAGTTAATTTAAAGTGTATGGACCAAAATAGCACAATGGAGGTTGCCCCAGTGGTTAGGGCGTTGCCTGGGTTGTGTGGGTAAAGCGCACGTCCCAGGTTCGATTCCCCACTGGGTGAGTGCCTGCAGCAGTTTGTGCAAGGGTGTCCGGCTTCCCACCGGCTAAATACCCCTCAGGAGTAGTCTTGGCTTCCCTAAAAATCGGAGGGTTGGGGATACCTGAGTTATCAAAAAAAAAAAAAAAATAGCACAATGGAAAAAATGCATTGATTATTAGTGTGTAATTTGCCCTTCTTTTTTTTTTTAATAACAAGTAACTCGGATTTTGTTTGAATCATGGATTTCAATAGGAATTTAGAAAGGGAAATGAAATCGCTTCTAAATTTATGATCAAAATACAGTCTAAATGAATAACATGTAGAAATCATGGGCTTGAAAATTCTGAATTTGGGGATTTTCAGGTGGAGAAATCAAGGGATCGATTGGATAAATGGGCAGACAACAAGGATGAGGAGCCTCTTTTGTCAAGCTCATGAGTTGCAGGCCACACAGCATGGCCCAATTGCCCCCTTAAAAATAACTTCTATGAGGCCATATGACAGCAGTATTGGAATATGTATCGGTATGAGCAATATATGTCATATATTGGACAGTAATAAATGAAATATTAATAAATAATGATATCGAAAATTTAAAATCTCAATATATAATGAATAATATATACGATATTTAAACCTAGCCACCTATTTTTGGATCATATTAGCTAATTTATTATCATCTCACATTTTTTTTTCCGCCACTGCACCCACCTCTCGGCAGGATTTTTTTTTCTTGGTTATTTATTTTTATGATTTTTATTTTTATTTTTATTTTTTGGTAGTGTGCTAATGTGATCAATGACTTCATTGGAGGGGTTAATTATCGGTACCTAGTGCATGAAGCAACAAACATCAATAACAAATATAAAAAGCCTATAAAATCATATTATTTGTGAAATCCTTACTTTTTTCTTGTTAGTGGAATTTCACAAAAAATTTTAGGCAAATTGTACCGATAATCCCTATATTTTGGCTCATGTATCATTTTGGTCCTACAACTTCAATTGACTCGATTTTAACATTGGATTTATGATTTTTGTCTCAATTTGGTCTAATTGATTACAATTGTTAGTATTTTGTGATGGGAAATATGCACATAATCAGCGTGTGTTATGTTTTTATAGGTAAAATTATAAATTTATTCAATTTAGTGAGTTAACCTTAACTAACTTACCATTTTCTTTAAAATACTCTAATCGGCACTATCAATTGAATCAAATTGACACAAAATTTAAAATTAAAGGCTAAAATTAAAATAATTAAAATTATAAATATCAAAATAATACAAGAGACAAAATAAAAGGATTATCAATATAATTTGCTCAAACTTTTAACTCATATACACTAATAAATGTCATTATATTCCTACACTCACCGGGGATGTAAAGTTTTGGGCCCCCGGCCACCCACGTACCACTCCTATAATCAAATTAATACGATAATTACATAATTTTATAATATTTATTTTTTAAAAATAAATTAAGATTAATTATATATTTAAAGTTCATTTGGAAAGAAATTTTTAATTAAAATATAAAATTAAACTAAATTCAATTATTTGTGAATCACTTTTTAATTTTTTACAACAACTATAAAATTAAACTAAATTAAATTATTTGAAAATCACTTTTTTACTTTTTACAACACCAAAAAAAAGTGCGAAAGTAGAAAAAATAAAAATGAATCTATAACTTTTTCTATAAATTTTTGGCTTCCCAGTTTGACTAAAAAAATCAATTGCCGAACGCACCCTTAGTCCCTAAATTATGAGATTTGTCTCATTTTGATCCTCAACATTAAAATTGTATCTGTTTAGTCCCTAACATTAAAAAATATATATATTTTTAAATTTGGTCCCCTAACCTGATTCGGTCAATAGATATGTAGCTCGACTTTTCGTGCCCCCTTTGAGAAGATGAATAAGCCCTATAGTATTGGATTTTCGCGGTTTTGAATCTGATCTCGCAAGTGCAATGTGAAATAGATAAACACCAAAGAGTCCAAATCTAGCAAATCTTTTTGAAAAATCGATTTTAAATCAAATTGCAAAAAAATGACTGCTTTGCCAAATACAGAGTCGCCACCTAAATATTTTTGGCAAATTAGAAAACCCAAATACAGAGTCGCCACCTAAATATTTTTGGCAAATTAGAAAACCCATGACTCGTGCCAAAGGCCACGTGTCCGTCATCACCAAGATTGTTTCAATTCGGGAACTTAGGTACGAGAGAGAAAGGTCATGAATTGAGCACCTCTACTTGTTCGATCAAAGATCGGCCTCTACTAATCATGATATGAATCTTATTTACATTACGTGCTCTTATTTAGTTATTAGACTAACATTACTATGTGATGCGCACACACAAGTATAGACTAATTTGCAAGAATTGGAACACTTTATCTCATGTTTTGTTTTGAAAATTGTTTCGAATATGTACCACTTGAAAAAGTGATCACATATAAACATTACTCAAATTATTCTAATTCAAGTAATTAGCCTTCATCCACAGGCATTCAAGAGTTATAGCACTTAAGCACTTAGCCTCATGGTGAACTTGCTTTACATGGCAATACTAACAAACAATGCAATATGCTAAAACAAATAAAAGCTCACCTAGTACTTCAAGCCAAACAAGATGACAGAGTTAGAATAATACATGATCCTAACTATGCAATATGACTAATGCAACACATGTGATATGCAATTACCAAGCTCGGCTACTAAGATAGCATATGAAGTAATTTGATAGCATGCAGTCTAAATACGTATTCAAAGAAGTATTTAACTAATAATGCAAGTTAGAATGATGTGTCGAGCCTAACACATGCAAGACGATGGATGCAAGGCATGAAGTATGCTAAACAAGACATGATGTCATAAACTAACCATCATAAGCAAGTAAATAAAAGAGAGAAAGACGTGGAGTTAGAAGACATACACGTTATTACAAGTTTGCGCCCTCACGCAGGAGGGTCCGAATAAACTAACTAGCTAAGCTAATTACTACGAATTAACTAACTATTACAAAACGAAATGAATAAATTAGCTAAGCTACTTAACTAATTATTACAACAACAAATTAATTAACTATTCTAGCTAATTAATTATACTAATTAACTATTTAACAAATTACAACTAACTAATAAATTACAAATTAACTAATTACAACATGAATACAATATGAGAGAAGTATTAAGCTAACTACTCTAAGTATTCTGCCTCGGGAAACAAGGAATGCTCATGTATGCGCGCGGGTTTCACCTGCAAAAGGCCACTGTTCTGTTGCCAGATGCCTCTCTTACTCAGTAGAACACTTGCACTGTTTTTCACCTCAGAACCAACTCTATTCTGTTTCAAAAGTCCATTACCTAGTTTTGCAAAGGTGGCCGGCAGGCTAGAAGTGGTGGCCTGCCGTTCACAAATGATGGCCTGCAGGCCACAAAATGTGGCTGTAGACATCTCATTTTTTACGGTCCTTACGACTTGGACGTCCTCGCATACACACTCGATGATGAACGTATTTGCTCGCCAAGTGCTCAAAGTCCTCAGCCGGATGCCACAACTTTGAGCCTTTCAAACCCTACCCCCTTGTTGCCTCAGTTTTGGACCAAGCCGTGGTTCTTCAAGCCTGCAGCTTTTGGTGGCCTGTCGACCACTTTTAGTGGCTGCTGGCCACTGATGTGGCTTGCCGGCCACCAGTGATGGCCAGCCGGCCACCAGTATATTTTGCAGATATTTTATGCCAGTTGTACCAGTTGTTTGCACAGATGCATGTATCTATCCCCACGTGTAGGGCTGGATCTCCTTGAGAGAATTTCATGTTTTCTATATATGGGAGGCCCCTCTCTCATGTTTTAAGGTTAGAAAATTTTGAGCTCCAAAATTTTCCTCATTCTCTACCAAATCTCTACATTTTTGCCTATAATTCCTTGACCTCTGCCTATACACCCTTAACCAAATCTTACCAACTTTGAGATGAGGTATTCTTGAGCCTGGTTTGAGCTCTAGAGGGTGTGTTTATTTAGTTTTGTTGCTTGGAATTGCTTCTTCTCTTCAAGAGGTATAAGGCTTTACCAATTTGCTTGTTTTCTCTATTATTTTTCCCACTATTTTTTCATTGTTTTGGGCTTTCAAAACTCTGTGCTTTTTGGGCTGAAACTTGGGTTTAAAGTCATTAAAGGTTGAGGGGTCGATAACATTTCTTTGTACCTTGTTTTGGAGACCTTTGCCCATGTGTTTCCTACCCTTGTACTATCTTTTTCTAAGCTTTTAAACACTGATTTTCAGAGCTTTTTCAGTGGCCAAAACCATGTTTTGAAGTTTGAATTTGATGGGGTTAGCCTCCCCTCCATGTATCTTGTTTAGTAGCCTAGCTTTCTCTATATGTTAGCTAATTTTCTAGACTTTTTTTGGCTCAAGTCCAGCATGTTTTAGGCTTTGTTTAGGACTTTTTAGAACTTTTTTTGGTTGTTTCAGTCTTTTAAGCTTTGTATAGCATGCTTCTAGTGTAATTGTCCTCATAAGCTTGATGTTTTAGGTCTTAGACATCACTTATTTGAGTTGATAGCAATTATTTTTGGCTTTTCATACTTCTTTTCAGCACTAATAATCTCTGCAACCTCCCTCATTTCTTGACTTTTTTATTTTGCTTTGAAAGTGGTTTCAACTCACTTGTTTGCCCAAGTATGAAATTGAAGTTTCATACTTAATGGTTTAATCTATTTAGGGGTTCAATACCAATAGTATGATGCTTCTTTCATACCCAAAACAACTTGTGTTTTGAGCCCCTCTTTCCATTAGAGGACTTAATCTCACTTTTTGGACTCAATTGATTAAAGGATGGATGGTAACTAAAATCAAGTTACTAAAATTTGGAATTAAAAGTGAACAAGATAATAATTTGGTTGTGTTCAATCGGACGTTAATTGAACACATGGAAGCTTGAACCATTTCATACTTGCTAGTGATGAAATGATTTAAGTCTCCAAGGTCAACTTCTTCCCTTGATCATTGATGAAAAGAAGGAGGTTTGCGTCTCGTTTTGCATTTATTGAACTTGTACACTTGGTTTCACAAGCCATCATGCAACGAAATTGTATCCATTGATGGTTTGTGAATCAAACTTGCTACTCCTTTGATTTGTTCATGAAAAGAAGGAGTGAGTTGTGCAAACAAACCCTTGAAATACCCTGTATATGCTCTGTTTGTTCTCTGTTGTAGCAAGATGAGCCTATGCAGCAATGGCTGGCAGGCCGCTTTCCATGGCCGGCAGGTGGTCGGCAGACCACCTTTGATGGCCGACAACCTTTATCCCTGGCCGGCCGACCACTAATGCAAAATTGAGCAGTATGTTGGTAAGATAGAGTAGAGTTGTTCTGGAAGTGGGCAACAGTGTTGGTGTTCAACTGTGCAAACAGAGGCATTTAGAAGCAAAACTGTGGCTTTTCAGGGGAAAACCGAACATAAGCATTCTTCGCATATCGAGCCTGTTTAATATTTAGAGTAAATATTTGTTATAATTAATTGTAGCTATTTAAGTGTTGTATTTAATTAGTTAGTTCAACTAGCTATTCAATTTCATTTTGCAATTAGTTAGTTAACTAGTTAGTTAATTCAAGTGTTGTAATAATTAGCTAAGT